GAGATGACTTCGACGACATTCGACTTCAGTATGCAGCTCTATAAGTGAAATTTTCAGAAAATAAAATTCGAAGTATTCATTTTATAATTCTCGTTATTTTAGGTTCCGTGAAGAAAGAACAATTCGAACTACTATGTACAAGCGGTATTCGCAAGTCCATAGACGATTACAGTACTTGTAATTGGGGTATCGTACCGTCTCGCGCGATAGTCACATCTTCGGTGACGAACTTCGAGACTCGTCGAAGGTATCAACGATTTTTGGAAAAGACTGCTCGAATACTGCACAAGAATAAAAATGGCACAACGAATTTTAATCGTTTCGGCGATCAGGACAATTTCATGAACCGTCCAGGTTACGACAATAATCAACAAGATTTCGAGAATCGTCCAGGTTACGATAGCAATCAGAGAGATTTTGAAAACCGTCCGGGTTACAACAGATTTGATGAGGGTGACTATAATAGAGGCGGATTTAGAAATCCGAATGAATATGGCACAGACCATTGGAATCGTAGCAGATACGATCGAAGATTTGGCAGCGGTGACGGAAGAGGAGTAGATGGAGGATTAAACTCGTGGGAGAAGCCATTCAACGATACATTCAATTACTATAACAGAGAAGGAGAAAACATTGAATCAGCGAATGTGCAACCGATAGAAATATTTGAATTATATGAATCGGCACCTAGATACGGATTGCAGCATAATTTAATATTCTCTGTAAGTCTTAATATTCTCATGTTTTGTTTGTTTGTTATTCGTTTATGTAAAACTTATTTGTAATGCATGCCATTTTTCTAGGATTCCTCTCGTGATTTTGTACAACTGCCCGAAAAGGATCAAACATACACAGGGTATTTAGGACAATCTTTAGAACATATATTAGGAGTACATCATTGTCCCGTAAATCGGATGACGCTGTGCGTTACATCCGAGCCAGAAATGGAAAAATGCATAAAAATGAAGGTACAGTTTAGATTATATTACAATATCACATATTAAAATATATATTAAAATATCATTATACATTATTACAAACATTACATTATTTCAAACATTATTTAAACATTTTTAATTTTAATGTCTTTAATATTTTCCGCAATAAATGCTTTACAGGTTTTAAAATGTTAGTAGCATAAAATTTAGAGGACTTATTATTTCAATTTGATTGCGTTGCAACTCTGAAAAATAATCAGCGTGTAATCATATATTTTACATGAAATTTATTTAAATTAGATATAGATGTATTATTCCAATCTGTCTTTAAACATTGTAAGTAGCGCTTCTCTTATTTAATTAATTTAATTACCCTTATTGTGTTTGTAGATCGCCTTAAAAGCCCAGTTGTTGAAACCAGAATTAATTTGTCATAAAGGTCACAGTCAAATAAATTGTATGCAGTCGATAAGAAGCGGGTACGTAAAAAATATATTACATATAAACGTATATATATTTTGAAATGAAATTATATTTAATAGTTTTATTTTCTTTACGATAGAATTGCCGATGTAGCTGTATTAGATGCCAGTGATGTTTACACCGCTGGACTGCAATTCGAATTGATTCCGTTTATATCCGAAGTGTATAATTTGGGTACACCGGACTATTACGTTGTCGCCGTTGCAAAGGAGGAGGACGACAATACAGATCTGACATATCTAAAAAATAAGAACACTTGTCACACTGGAATCAACATGGCTGCAGGATGGGTTTATCCGATGGCGTATCTCATTTCTAACAAGTGGATCAGAGGATACGGTTGTGATTCCGTGCGTGCTGCTGCGGAATACTTTAGCAAATCCTGCGTGCCAGGCGCACTCAGTACTGAATATAATATAGGTAGCTGAAAAAAGTTCTAACATATCAAAATAAAAATTGTAACATCAAAAAATTTTAGCTAAAAATTTTTAATTAAAAGGTCTAAATGAAGAAAGTTGGTTTTTGTTCTAAGCTTGCAATTTAAAAATAAAATAAAATAAAATAAATTGATAAAAGTAGCAAATTCTTTCATATATAACAATTGCGTTTATAAATTTTTCTCATCTAATATTTGATTAATTAGTTATTTATTGTTTGTAGGTGTGCCTTATGATAACATGTGTGATTTATGCCACGGGGTGAGCTACCGGTATTGCCGAAGAGACGCTTCCGAGGATTACTTTGGTTATACAGGTGCTTTTAGATGTCTGGTAGAGGGAGGTGGTGACGTGTCCTTCGTGAAGCATACGACGGTCGCAGAGAACACCGACGGCAAGCGTAAAGAATTTTGGGCACGCAACACCTTCATAAAAGACTTTGAATTGCTTTGCCCAGATGGTACGCGTCGCCCAACAACAGATTATTTGAACTGCAATCTAGGCAAAGTCGCTGCCAATGCTATAGTTACACGCGGCGATTATTACGGCCATAACCAAACGCAGATCAACGCATATATCAATCTATTTATATACGCACAACAATTCTATGGCCGAAAGGAACCGGATGAATTCAGCTTCAGCATGTATTATAGCCGACCGCCTTACAGCGATCTCATTTTTCAAGATGCTACTCAGCAGTTGGTGGTAATCCCGTCGGACAAGCGGGAATACAGCACATACCTCGGGCCAGATTTTATGAGAGCCAGAAGAATCGTAGATTGTAACGCAGGTGCGTCAGTGATAAGTTACTCGTTGTTCGCTACAATAATTATGATTGCGTTCACTTTCGCATTTGGTAGATAAGTATAATGTCGATTTATAGATTGTGCTTGTACACGAATATTCGAACGAGAATTCATTGAGATCAAAGAATAGAAATCTGACAAACGAATCTGATATAGCACATTTTATCAATTGGCACAGCATGTATATTATAATTAGTAATCTAGTATATTTTAATGTTGCTACATATCGCTAATATTTTAAAAGATATATTCTAAATATTATTCAAATATTGTTTTATACATATTTTATATGTATATTTTTATAAAAGTACAAATGACTGAAAGACGGAGTTGAATATATAAATGTAAGCATAATTGCTGCCTTTGCATCCGTCCAATGAAGCAATATCTCTAAGCGCTGCCGTTGCATCCGTCCAAATATAAGAAACTTATCGATTTGGTAATTTTAGGGATCATTGTATTTAAAATAATTTGCTATACTTGTATGTAAGTATATTTTATACCGTCCACTAACATTTTTTGTAATAATAAATCTTTATAAGGTTTTCTATGTATTTTTACATTATTCCATTCGTTACTCAATAAAGTATCTTGAGTAGAAAAATCAATGGAGGAGACATGAAATGAGATAGAACTTGTTTACACATAAATCCAGATTTTATGAAAAGTATTGCTTGTTTCTCAAATGGCGAAACATCGGAAGTAGAATGCTGAATGACGCGCGATGACAGAAAAGATTGAAATTACAATTGAATAACGAACGAGAAAAGAGATCATTGCTTTGGCTGTCAAAAATTCACGCAAATCTTAAATTTGGATCAAAATTTATAAAGTTAACACGATTCTTAATCCGCCTCTAATAATTCGAATAACATAATTTTAATAAAAATCTCAACGTTGAATATTAAAGTTCTCTTATTAATCTGAAAACAGATTGTTTTTGCAAGAAAATAGTGCAGGATAAATCGATATGAATAGTGATACTCGGCCAATAAATACGTTTGAACGCAAAAATTTGGGAAAAGGAACTAATACGCAACTCGATAGGCGCAATAAGTCTCAAGTAGTATTCTTGTAAGATTAAAAATGTAGTAATATAATAAATTAAAATATATACATTCAGGTAACTGATGCTCACCAAATATTCGACAATCTGAATCAATCCAGCCAACAAAAGCAGAAATTAGATTCTAACTTAACATCAACATCTCATACCTCTTCTTCTACAAAATATACTAATGCTATAACAGGTGAAATCTTGTATAATTGATTGTAAATATAATTTTCATTTCTATTTATAATAAATCCACACATATATAAAGTAAATATAATATATAAAGTTGTTTTTTTACTCATATCTATATCAATAACTTGTCTCTTGGTCCTATGATTTTTTCCAATTGTTAACTGTATAAGTTCCAAATTTTCAGGTAAACACCAAGTCCATAAATTAGTGGATAGCAAGCAAGTTCCATTTCATCAATTTGACAAGAAGGCACTTCTTCTAGATACTTACGCTCGTATCGTTGCTAGCAATAACAGACGTTGTCCCAAGCGATTGCGTGAACTTGCTAAACCAAAGAGACAGGCTCGTAGCGATTTGAATGACTATGCTGCGAATTTCGATCTAAATTACGGTCATGTAACTAAAACTTATTGTACGGAAGACAAAAGCAAAAACTTAAAAGAATTAAAGAAGAAATAGTTTAGTTATCATAATAGATTGACTTAAATAATTTCTCAGCATGATTACTCCAGTTTCAAACAACTCAACAGAATTTAAAAGACAGGAAAAATATCTATATATAAAAAATATTTAAAAAATTAAAAAATATAATTATTTTTGAGCTTCTGCATTTTTTAAGGAAAATAAAAATCTTTCTGCTCTTGTAAAAGAAAATTATGAGAAAAGAAAAGCTAATATAATAAAAGTGATTGGATTTTGTGCATTCTCTTTCCTGTAGTAAGATTGAATTGTAGATACATAATATCTTTCTTGTAAGGCTCGTTATATATTTCCTCATTGTTGAGGAAAATATAATAATCAATATTCAAGACAGCTCGCAATTATCATTTATATCATTTGAAAAATGTATGCCAAAAGGAAAAACCGATGATGTGAACTGTGACCGTTGGAGATAAATGTAAAGATGATTTTTGCAAGTCGCTGATTTATCTCGTTACGGATATTCATATTAATTCTCGCTTCGTTTTGGTTCAAAATCCCGTGCGCGTGCATATTTGAATTGCAAAACCGCATGACCTCACGTACGCCTTGCAGTTTGTGGGAAATATTCTCGTATGATAGTCAAGTTTCCCAGAAAAACAATTGCGATTAAGCGCGCGCATCTTCCTCCTCGCGGTTGGGTATATAAAAGTCCTCGTAGTGCCCTTGAGATGTTTTTAGTGCTCGCTGGTGCGGCACTTAACGTGCTTAACCGGTTTCACGTGTGTAAGTTTCCTACTTGCATTAAACTCGGACAGTCCAAACTGTCTTCCTCTGCAGAAATATCATGAAGTGCTTGTTCGTTATCCTCTTGAGCGTCGCTGTCGTGCTCGCCGATGACAATCTCACCGGCGAAGAACATGAAGTCATCGCTCCGATTGGAAGAATTCGCGGTTCCATCATCACCTCCAGATTAGGCAAAAAAATCTATTCTTTCCGCGGTGTGAGATACGCCGAACCGCCGACTGGACAGCAACGTTTTCAAGTAAAGCATCAGATATTGCCAGGATTGCGAAGTAACATTATTAATTATAACTGCGTTTTGTTATCCATGTTATTTTTTTTTCGACTATGTCGTGACTTTTCAGTAATGGTTATTACTTCTAATGATCTTCTACTATAGCGAAAATAAAAATTGAAATGTAATACACACCAATGTAAGATTAATTTTAAGTTCAATTTATTCTCTATCTTTTTCTAATTCTAATGCCCGTTTTATTGTAATTTAATTTAAATTTTAGTTCAACTAACTCTTCGTGTTTTTATAATTCTAAGAATTAGAAAAAGATGAAGAGTTAATTGAACCAAGATTAAATTTAAACTATTTATAAAAACGGACATAATGTCCATTTCTACTAATATAGATTAACTTTAATCTCGATTTAATTTATTTGTTTACCTTGTCTACAACTTTGCTTTAGGCAGTAAGCTATAAAGCCTTAAGAAATTGACTAATCACAGTTGAATATAAGAAAAATAATCGATTGTGATTGGTCAATTTCTTATTGGTTAATTTCTTAAGCCTACGGCTTACGACTTCTTAAAGCAAGGTTGTGGACAAAGTATTTGTCTTTTTCTAATTCTTAAATCTAAAATAAAAGATAAAAAGTAAGTTAAATTAAATTTAATCTACGTTGGTAGAAACAGACCTAAGAAGTATAACAGTATAAGTTAAACCGAGATTAAAAATTAATCTTACATCGGTGGAACTGAACTTTAGAATTAATTACTTTCCATTGATTATTTATGCTTTCGAATATTTATACATGTTCCCCGAATGCTCTGTAAAGCGAGGTCTACAATAAGATTTTAAGGCGTAAAACTTAAGCTTTAAATTCTTAGTCGTAAAAAATTGACCAATTACAATCGAATGTGAGGAAAATATTCTACTATAATCGGTCAATTTTTTACGACTTGGTACTTAAAGCTTAAGTTTTATCTTAAAATCTCATTGTAGGTCTCTTGCCACTTAAAGCAGATATGTAACATTCTGTTACGTTTCAATTCTCTTCAATAATTCATTTTATTATCGTTTCCTAAGTGTTCAAGTTTCACAAACCATGAATGAAATACTTCGGATATGCTTTTCGGCTTCAATAATTTATATCTAGAAGCTCTTTAGCGAAATGCTTTCATAAAGCATTCTGCAAAGAATGCATGATTTCAATACACTTTTTGCACACTTCAGAAATCCAACCAATTTAATGTTGGTCAACTTCCCAGAAAAAAATATTTCATATATGTATAATTACATACAATTATACATAATTATATAAAATTATGTATAATTAGATACAAAATTGATATATTTTATATAATTATATATAATTACATATATGTCCATATATATAACATTTTTTTTCCGGATTAATATTGACAGATAATGATTAATTACTTAATTTCAAATACTAAGAGCACTGAACAACATTTTTAATACTTAAAATAAGTAATTATAATAATCACTGCTACCCAGTAATGCCAATATTCTATATAATTCTTATTGATATCTTCCTAAATGTTTAATAAAGAATAAGCTAGTATATAACTAGTATATAGTGTTCTGATACGCTTAATACACATTTCTATATAACTGATAAGCTATGTTATTAGCGTTATCGCATCATAATTCCATTCTTATTTTATGTCTAATCTCTTAACGCTAAAAATAGAATGACACAATAGCGCTTCCCGAACATAACATGAAATAAAATTTAAATATTTTTTAACAAACATTTTCATAACGTATTAGTAAGTTTCTCATTACTTTTCTTTCAAATTAAAAGCTTTAGACTTTTACCACAAATGCGAAATTGCTACGTGTTTTAAGAGACGTATTATCAGCTATTACTATATCACTATATTTGCGTCATTTTATTTTTGTTTTATGCCTAATAAATAATAAAAATAAACTGACATAATAACAATATGTGCTTTCTCCGGACACAATCTATATAATTTAAAGAAATAAAATGAAATTGTGTGTGATGTGCATATAAATTACATAAAGAAAATCGATAACTTCTCAAAATGTCAAAAAAGTATAAATGAAGAGATTTTACTTAGGCATTTACGTTTCTTTATTAGAAGTTTAATTGATTTTTCATTGATTCCTTTCGCGATTTCGAACGTACATATCATGTAGTTCATACCACGCTCTCTGAACACATCGTATAAAGCATCATATATTATAGAATATTCTTGTTATGTTTTTCACACTTTTTTGTTCATTCATTTTTCTTTACACTTCTTAAAGTGTGTACACTTCATTAAAGTTAATCGTTCTGCTTGTGCTTGTCGAAGAATTTTATACTACGTTAACGCTTTTTGAAGTTCATAGTTATCGGTCCGATGTTTCAATTTTTGCCTCTTACAAATCTCGTTTACACATTCGTTAGTTTTCCCTTGCACTAGATTTACTCTTCAATTAATGCTTTATTGACATTTGTTTTACGTTTTATTTTTACTAGCAATTAAAAGCATTTTATTTTTTGATCTAGTAATTTGTTAGCAAAAATAAGACCAAAGTTTATCAGACTAGACCGAATTTTTTTTTCAATTTTATTTTCGTCTAGGTCGCAATTCCAGCGGCAGATTGGAATGATGTTTTCGATGCGACTAAAGAAGGCCCTGCCTGTCCAGCATTATTCGAACAGAATATAATGGAGGATTGTCTCCGCGTGAACGTATATACAACGAAAGTGAGTCTCATGATGTACATTCACACTAGAAAAGGTATGAAGTCACTAATTGAGCAATTATCTTGATTGCAGTTACCGTCGGAGAACGATCCAGTGAAAAGACCCGTACTAGTATTCTTCCATCCCGGTGGTTTTTACTTATTCTCGGGCCAAAGTTCTAACTTCGGACCTCAGTACTTACTGGACAAAGACATCGTTCTTGTCACCGTCAATTACCGTCTCGCGTCACTAGGTAAAATCCCGCGTTTTATATACATATCTTTCCAATAATTCGGACTGCAATCTATAAAATTTCGAGCGAAATTTAAAGTTGGAAGGAAAATACCTGGGAAAAAATATTATATAAAAATGGATATATTTTATATATTAGGTGTTGGAATTAATTCGTAGCGTTTTTTAATGAAAGAATGTTATTTATTTCACATGAGCATTAAAAAAATACATTAATGAAAGTACTTCCCATCACTTGTAAAACGCTACGAATTAATTCCAACACCTAATATAATTATACATATATAATTGTATATAAAATATGTCCATTTTTTTTTTATATAATTTTATATAATTTTATATAATTGTGTATAATTATGTATAATTATATTTTTTCCTCGGGTAATGATTCGTAAAACGATTAGTTAGAATGTTATCACTATAGTAATTCAAAGAATTAAAAAGAAAAAAAAAACTTTTTTTCTTAAAAACTTGTTTGCGTTTATCCACATTAGGCTTTCTGAGCACGGGCGATTCGAAGGCACCAGGTAATGTCGGACTGAAGGATCAAGTTGTAGCGCTTCGATGGGTTCAAAGGAACATAGCTGTCTTTGGTGGTGATCCCGATAGCGTTACTATATCCGGCTATAGCGTTGGTGGAATAAGCGTGTTATTACACATGGTTTCACCAATGTCCAAAGGATTGTTCCATCGGGCGATCATGATGAGCGGCTCGATGATGATAGAACCGTATCCGACTGAACAGCTGCACGTGGCGAAGAAGCAAGCCGAATTGTTAGACTGTCCAACCGATACCACTGGCTCTATGCTGATCTGCTTGAATTCCAAACCAGTGGAGAACTTTACAGACACCATACGCAATTTCTTTGTAAGAAAGATTACATACAAGACGAGATTAATAAATGAGATCTAGTAGATAAGATTAAATATATTTAATAAACATCAATTAGTAATAACATAAAATTAATGTTATTAATGTTATTATTTCACACTTAACAATATAAATGTTATGTATAACATGTGATATATTTCATATTATATTTATATTTATTAAATGTAAAATTATCCAATAAATACCAACTAATAGTAACGCGCGTAACATAAATGTTATATGTTTCTATGTAGTTAATATTTATTGGATAATTTTTCTAATTAAAACAATAGAAATTTAGAAAAACGATATGATATCGTATAAAAAATAAAAAAAAATAAGAAAGAATAATGATTCAATATTTTCAAATGACTAGATAAACAAATATTTTTTAACGTACTACTGGCATTTTAGGAGTGGTATGGTCATCCAATCATGATATGGACACCTGTAGTGGAATCTGAGGTTCACGGCGTGGAAAGATTCCTGCCCGAACAGCCCATTGATTTAATTAGGAAAGGCAAATTCCACAAGGTTCCGTTGATTGCAGGAGTTACTAAAAACGAGTTTGACGGTGTAGTCGCTTGTAAGAATCTTTTGTATTTATATTTTCTTTGTAATTTCCATTCAATTTTTCAGTTAAAAATGATGAAATTAATACAGAAATTAATAAGTATATATAATATATTCCGCTGATCTTTTTATAGACGTTAATCAGCAACATCAACTCGGGAATGATTCGATGGTAAACGATTTGAACAAAGACTGGTATAGACTCGCACCGATTAATTTCATGTACGAACGGGATACACCTCAATCCAAAAACATAAGTACTGAACTGCGCCAATTTTATTTTGGCGACCAACCGATCGGTCCAGACACTTACGATGGTCTCGCACATGTACGTAAATTGTTATAAAAAATATAATAAAATAAAATAATACATTTGGAACAATCATTGATAAATTAAAGTACCAGCATAAATAAAATTAGGTAACTCATGTATAATTGTTTTGTATTTCAGATCAATAGCGACAGCATAGTTATATTTCCATTGCATCGTGCTGTAAAATTGATCGCAGAAAACACCGACCAACCTATTTACTTTTATATGTCTTCCTACGTAGGACGATACAGTTTTGTTATGTGGAACGAAACTACACCAAATGGTATTTCTATTTGTATTTTACTTTATGATTAAAATTCCAATTGTTGTTTTATTCTTCACGATTTGATTTTTATCTAACTTCTGTATAAATTATATGTATATCTAAATTTGTTATTTATTTTATCATTCTAGGAGTGGCACATCATGATGATTTGCAATATCTGTTCTTTATGAAAGTCAAATTCCCATTCCTCCAAAATGATGATCCGGAAATTCCTATAATGGAACTTATGACAAGCATGTGGTCGAACTTTGTTCAAACCGGACAGCCGGTGTCTCCAGCTTTAGCGGAGAATGTTACATGGGATCCATATCTACTAGAAAAAGATAACTATCTGGATATCACTGAAGAACCAAAAATGAAGACAGGGCTTTATCCTGACAGAATGCAAAAATGGGATAGTTTGTTTCCTTTAAATCCAAAATAGAAATCAGTTCAAAATCGATTTTACAACGTGTAATAGATATGTTGACTTGCTTACGTACGTCATTATAAGTAAAAGAAACATGCATCAATTCTATTACTCAATAAATGCAAATACATTTCTATAGTTTCTTATAGTTTTATATTTAAAAAAAGTTTTCTTTTCTAATAAAAACTTATTTCTGTAAAATTACAATATTTGCAAAAATATTTTTTACCATCTACTGATCAGTAAAGTTTAATTAGACAAATAATACTGGCAAATTATCAAATTATTATTAAAGTTTTAAATACAAAATAGATTTGTTATATATGTCTATATAACAAATAACAAATATATATAATATATAAAAATTTACAAAAAAATACACGCACTCAAATCTTCGGGTCTGACGATTGCAATTTTACCAGAGGCTCGCTTAATTCCCACAATTTTTTGCCTTTAGCAGGATCCTTTACAGCGTTCGATAATTTATATTCCTAAAATATATTTAGAGTGCTTAAGAAGAATTTTAAAAAAGATAAATATTTTTAGCGTCAAATTAAAAGAACCAAAGAAAGTTCTTTTTGAAAGCTCTTTTATAAAAAGATTAAAAATAATTCTTACGGCACAATCCATAAAGTATTTTCCCGAAATTTCTTTAAGTTCATCAGAAACTGCGAGATGAATAGTCGTCTGTGCGCCTTGCTCAGGTGTTTTGAAGAAAGCCTTAACTATAAGGTCCAAACCCCAGGATAACGGAGCGGGTACACTTCGCCAGATTCCACTGTCTATCATTCCAGGATGCAAACAGTTTGCTGTTACTCCCGAGCCCTCCAAACGTCGTGCCAACTCCAATGTAAAGACTATATTCGCATATTTTGACACATAATACAAATACGCTGGCAAGGTCGTTGTTGGATTGATATTGTCAAGATTTAAACACGCTAGTCGATAGAGTTCTGATGCAACCACTACGATACGACTTGATTTCGACCGTTTCAATAAATCTGCAAACAACGAGATTTCTTTGTAATAATTCATAAGTTATAAATCATAACTATAAAGAAGTTATTTTATCTGGATCAATGACGTTAATAATAATAATAATAATAATAATAATAATAATAATAATAATAACAGATATCACGCTATTTATTCTTTCTAAAGATTTTACGTAAATTGTGAAAAAACTGGACGGCATTATTATAACTGCAGTAATTTTTTTTTAGTCATCTTTATGACTACGATTATAGTCTACCCAGATAATACGTAATATATCACCTTCATGTTTAAAAGATGTCTTTTAAATAGTTTTGTTTAGATATGTATATGTGCCAACATCTTTACAATGTTTTTATGACCTCTTTTAGACATACATGTTGTCTGGGTAAACTATAAAGATGACTAATAAAAAATTAGATATACATTTGTTACCTATAGTAAACACCAATTAGCAGCAATATAGGATGCAGTCGAGTTGCCGCTACGAATGCTTCGAAGCATTTTTTTATTGATCAATTAGTAAAATTCTTTCTTCCGATTGGTTAATCAAATGCTTCGAAACATTCGTAGTGGCAACTCGACCACACCCTTAATCAACATTATATAACTGTTAATTATATATGTATATGATACAAAACAGATTTTACTTTTGATAACTTCGAAAATTCAAAATAGTAGATTTTATGTAGAGAAATTATGTATTTTACGATTTAATCCCTTCAGATCCTCCCAGATAACAAAGCATGTCTCAGCAAAATTGCACAAATCTGTGATTGCTAACAAATCTTGCTAAATTTAATTTTTTGGATTTGTCTTCAACGATTTCGAATATACCGACATTGTAGCAATATGCAGTGTATGTGTATTGACAATAATGTGTATTGTCAGCAGTTTAATAGCAAAATAGCTGCGTCAATGTTATTGCGTTGTTAACAATACGACAGTATTGTTTGATGCTGCATATTAATTATTATATATGGCAATATGATAGCAATAGTACGAATTTTGATGATGACGAGTTTAAAGTTATCGGCAAATTGCTGGCAAATTGCTACTTAATGTTATCATATCGTGAAGTAAAATTATTTAATTAAAACTTTCACCATGTTATGCTTCATAAATAAATTAATAATTTCCAATCTTCTTCAGCGATAATAGACGCAAAAAATTATATACTTATAATTAATATTGCCTACATATACAATAAAAGATCGGTTATTTTTTGCTCCAAGAAAGCCAAACTTCTCTATCCAAAATATATTTTCCCATGCCAATTACAAAGCTGGATGAAAATCATAATGTCGGTGCCTGTCACGGAAACTGCAAGTATATAATGTAAACTACTAATCCAAAGTCTTGATAGCAAGAACGTCAACAATTAAAGATTTTTAGTCAAATTATAAAATAATAAATAAAATGTACAATACGAAAAAATGTGTCGACTGTATATCGTCAAACATTTTCTCAGAGAACTTAGTTTGGCTTCCCTGGAGACTGCAAAAAATAAAATTACATCTTTATTATAGGCAATACTAACTATTTATTAGTAATTTTTGCATCTATATTATGAAGAAGACTTAAACGTATGAAATTATTATCATTTAACAATTATTGTTTGTTCTGTCGTCTCTTTAATAAATTTAACTTTTATATGAGAGATTTTTTTTGAACAACTAGCGCATTCTGAAGTTATTCCTATTCCTTCGAGCCCTTCTATTTCTTTGATTGTTACTTTTAAGTTAGGGAATCGTGATATTCAAATTTTAAATTAATGATTTAATAATTAAACACAATGTATTAATAGAGTGAACTTATTTCACTCGAATTGAACACGTCAGCGTAACAAGTAAATTAGTAAATGTGCTTTTTGCGTTATAATTTCTTACCGATTAGAAGATGCGTCAACAAAAATGGTCCAAAGTAATTGGTAGCCATAGTCTGTTCTAATCCGTCTTCCGTGATTTTTTTCTTGAAAGTTTCCGCAGTTCCGGCATTATGAATCAACACGTCTAATCTGCTTTCTTCTTGATTTATCTGCTGGGAAAACTTTCTGATCGATTGCAACGATGACACATCCAATTTGCGGACTACAATATTGCTATTGTTTGATTCTTTCACAATCTCGTCTGCATATAAAACATATATATGTGTATATCTCAGATACATCGTTTATTATAGAATATACTAAAAAAATATACTCTCGCAGAAAATATAAGGTACACATTTTATGTTAAACATTTTTAATATTTAAATTAAAAAAACAATTGAATAGGTTTTTTTAAATTAAATAACTTTTCCCAAGAATATATGAAAACATAAAGAGAAATCCTATTCTGTGCTATTGTTTCAACTTTGCGTTAGCAAATATGACATATTTGTATGCGTATTGATCTCAAATTTTTATTCATTATTTAACTTATAAGATTATTATATTACATAACATTGCATAATAAATCAATGTATTTAATGAATAAAAAAGCGTAGAGAATTATGTAAATAACCCAAATATATTTTACATAATAAACATATGTAGCGATAAAATCTTTGTTTAATAAGTCTTTGCTTAATAAATTTTTTGATTTGCAATCATAAGTGACATCATCATCTCTAAGCTAGTTATATAAGCTAGTTCGCTATTTCATTTATTGACAATTCATTTGCAATAATACCATAATTAAATCACAATGAATTAAATTTAGTAAATTGTATGAAAAAATTTATTTCATTTATCGACAATTCATTTGCAATAATACCATAATTAAATCACAATGAATTAAATTTAGTAAAAAGTATGAAGATAATAATTTTATAGTATATTTTACACCTACATAAATTTGCATAACTTTCTAAAAGAATAATTAAAACAAATTTTTTCATTCAAATGAGAATTTTTAAGAAAGAAAAATGAGGCGAAGATAATAATTATTTAATTTTTATCGTGACTACTTTTATTTAAAATAAAATATAATGTTATTTTAATTACGAAACCTTTTAATTGATTAGCAGTATCCGTGTTTCTGCATGCCATAATAATCCTCGCGCCTCTCTTGGCAAGATCCCTTGCTGTTTCCTTACCAATACCGGAGGTACATCCGGTGATTATTATTGTTTTACCATCCATTCGGCTTTTGCTCTTGCAAATGCCTAAAGTGCAGAAAACGTACAGACGAAGACCGGCCAGGAACAATATCGCACTACTTGATACAATTGCCGCGGTCCAGTAAAACAGCGTCGTGCAAGGAATGCTAGTCAATATCATGGTATCTAAATGAAATATAAAATAGAAAAATATCACATTAAAATTAAACATTAATTACACTTATTGCATATAACATTACTTGTAAATATATCACATTACTTTACTAAAAAATATTCTACTAAAAAATTTTACTACATAATTTTATATTACATTTTTTATTAAAAAGAAAAAGAAAAAGAAGAAAATCATAAGAAAAAAGAGAAATGTTACAGATACATTTAAAATAGCAAAATTAATAAAAAGCTAATTGAGTTAAATTAAAAAACTTATGCTAATTTTAGTAATATTAATTTCTTAAGTAGTGAATCTTATTACCGATTTTACAAAAAGAGAAAGTCTCGACGTGCGTCTTCTTGAATTTTTTATCCTAAGGAAACACATTTTGCACTTATATTTTTCTAGCTTAACTAGGATGAGTCGAAAGTATATCCGGATTTTATGTGACAACAAAGCGTACAAGAAGGTTAACCATTATATACCATTATATTTTGCAGCTATTGAATTTATTTTTCAGTATGATTTACTTAATGCGCTTCGTTAAAAACCGAATAAGTCAATGAAATAGTTTTATTTGAGATGTACGATATAAAAAATTACTTTTCGTTAAATGATGAATATAATCTTATTCTAAGAACAATCAATTATAATCAATTGTATAATAAGTAAATTTCGAAGTAAAATAAAATCAATTAATTTACGAAATTATTTTAACTAAAATCATGTGCAAGATAATATGTACAGTAAACATTATGTTTTTATAATAATATATAGTAACAAGAAATAAAAAAGGATGACACAGTTCAAGTAGATAAAAACTATGTTATTGTGTGATCACAAAATAATTGCTAATATTACCTATTTGTTTGATTTATTATTTTACACATAGTAACAAAGTTTATAAAAAGTTTAATTATAATATTTAACATAATTGTAGAAATCCTCTTCCTTCTTGAGAAAACCAATTATACTCTCCTCTATTTCTTGATTATGCAACAAAATTACTCAGCTAATGAACAAATTGATTTTGTCAAGCTTGGCGTTGAAAATAGTTCACTTGAATTCATTTGTCTATTTTCTCTTTTTTCCATGATATTTCTGTTTCAATTAATCCAATTTGAATACGTCATAAATATAACACTTGTAGTTTTAATTGAACTTCTTCCACGATTCTTCTCTCCTTTTCACTCCATGTCGAAGAAGAAAAGAAATAAATTATGCAAGAAGTTAAATTAAAAAGAATAGATTTATAATTTTCCTTCAAATCTATTGCAAACCATATTAAAATCTATATAGACCATATTAAAATATCTATAGATATCTATATATCTATATAAATCTCTGATGAAAGTATAAGTACAGATTTTTTTCTAAGCGTAATTATCAGACATTCGTATTACAACAACTTTGGCTTTGATTACATTAAAGAGAGCTTCTTATTGTTAAATTTTAATCAAAATATCGATCAAAAATATCTAAAGAATTATATAATGTTCCTATTGTCCTGTGATATCTTTAAAATAAGTAAAATGGTATTTGTTTATGTCTTATAGAATAAGTTATTAATAAATCTTCTAATGGCTATAAACATGTACTGGAAGGAAAGATCGAATATATATGTTTTTTTATAATCATACTCACATTCGCTATAGCAGAATTCTCATTAAACCTCTCCGGTATTTCGTGTGCCGTTATGATCCAAGAGCCGGTATACTACTGACATTACGGTCTACAGACCCCTTTCAAGTATAGGTGAACGGACAATATCGATATCCCCACCTTTCGCGGTGAGAAACGATGATGAGAAAATGGCCTTGATGCATAACTTTCTTGGACAACTTTTGACGGTCCAATTTCACATGTTCTTGTTTCAATAAATAAGCTTGAGACCATTTCAAACTAGAGATAAAAATAACTAAAAAGATTGGAAACTTTGATTAAAAGAACCTAATAAAAACTCATTTTTTACCCGACATTAAAAGTTTTTTAATCAAATATGTATGTAAATTTTTTGGACACACCTTTGATATCTTATTATTATTCTAAAATTCAATTTTTGCATTTATCCAAAAGATTTCTGTAGAATAACTAAATAATCAAAATGTAATATGATTAAATGTCAATCTATAAATATATGTTTATAGTGAATTCAGTCACTCGCACTGCGTCATATATATAAAGCAGCTTTTAACGTGTATTAATTTAACGCAGTGCGAGTGATTGAATTATATATTTATATATATGTATATACATAAAATATTTAAATAATTTAATAATGCAGTGACGTAATTATAATAATTATAACAATGAAATAATAAATATATATATATTTTGTTAAAGAAAGGCATTCACTAAAAAATCGATTATTGTAGCAATTGTTTAGAAGAAATTTTGGAAATATGTACTTTTACATTATTTTTAATGCTAAATTGAATAGTATAAAAATAAATTAATTTAAAAATGATTTCCATATTTGAAACAAATTTAAAAATATAATTAAATCATAAAAATTATAATTAAAAATCTAATTAAATCGTAAAACGATATGTCCCTATTTGTTGATTATTCCTCATATAGTAGGGAAAATTAAATCAGTAGTAAAAGTTAAACTTTTATCACATTTATATTTTTCTTTAAAAAGAAATTTTTATTTTTTCAATCTTATATTTAACACAAAGTATTTTGTAATTCTGACAACATATAGCTTTAGAATAAATATATATATCCGTATGTCACAGATGCTTTCAAAAACGTTGCTGCTTTCAAATACTCTTGCAACCTTAAATATTACGAGAATATTGCAACAATATGTTGCTACAAGTTTTATGCCATAGAGGAAAAAAAAGACTTGGAATGAAAAATATTTGAGTGAGTTTAATATTAATTTACTTGCAGTTTATAGTACACTTTACTAAAATTTTTTTTTTAATTTCCTGCATTATACACGTTTAGGTCTTCTTTCAGCTGTGCAGTTTGTTTATCTTTCTAACACGTTTGTACTTCATTGATATTTTTTCTTCTGAACATATCCGCTTTTTGTCCCGCTTTTGTTCGATTTCTATTGATGTAGCGCTCATTGTCATTTCAGAATTATTGAAAGACTTTGCTATTATTTTCCTATTTTTCTTTAAGATATTTTTCCAAAAAATTATCTTGTTGAAGCTACACGATTGCTGAAACTGCGTTTATGAATATAAAGATTTTAGAAAAATAATAACAAATGCTTTTAATGGTTCTGGACAATAAGTGCAACATCAGTGGAAATCGGGAAAAAGCGGGACAGAAAACGGATGTATAATAGATATGAAAAGAAAGTGTCAGTGAAATGCAAATGTGCTAGAAAGATAATACGAATTGCAGTTACATAGAAAACAAGCTTTGTGTTAAGAAGAATGCCTAAAAGTATAGTGCAAGAAATTAAAAAAATGTTTAATAATGAAGTAAAATATTATAATCGTTTAAATATATATAAATATTTTTTATTTCGAATACTATTATTAGCAATTATCCGTTCTAAAATTATATATCAAATAGCACTGTAGTGTTTGCAAAAGCGATTATATACGCTTTTTTAGCGCTTTGTTAACGCTTTATAAAAGTTGTGTGCAACTTGATATTTTAATATTACAAATCGTAAATACTTTGTGTTAAATATAGACATACCGAAAAAATAAAAATTAATTTTTTAAAGAAAAATTTTATAACTGCAATAAAAGTTTAACATTTTGACTTAATTTTTTTACTACATACAATGTAGTATACAATGTGTTTCATACAAAACCGAATTCATTATTAGATTCAGTATCGAAAAAAAAAGTTATCATTCAATTTATTTATAGACATCGCAACAACGATAAGATATGCCTTAATATTTAAAAACATAAATGTAAAGAAAAATGTATTAAATAATATTGAATTAAGTAGATACTAAATGTTTTAATGATGAATATAAAAAAAAAAAAATCTGTATCTTTTTTTAGAAGTTTGAAATTTAAAAACAATTTTTTTTATCGCAAACACATTTTTTATTCAAGATTTTATTTTAAAATCTTGAAATTTATTTTTTCATGTTTATAAATAGAGTATATTAATAGAGACACGGGTAGCGTCTCGGCGCTAAGCAAACAAAGTATAAATATATGTCTTCAAGTGTGGCTCTCGACATTACTCATTATCCTTTTTCTATAATTAAACTGAAAATTTTAATTAAATTGAAAATTAAATTTAAGAATAAATTACTAATTCATCAAATCGTTTGAAGAAGTCAAAAGAATGATTTAATACGTAGTAATAAAAAATTACAATATAACACTTCTATTCCGTTAAAAAATACACTTTTTTTATTAATCGGAGCATGGTTTATTTATCTAAAGTAGTTGTTTAGCTGACAAATTAAATTGTATTATAATAAAATTTGATTCTTGATTTCTTTTCTAAATATGGCCTAATTTAAATGAAGACTTATGACATGATATAGAGAATGTGTACCTTGCTACATGTAATATAATAAATAATATATTAAATTTCATTAATTTTTTATTTCTAATTTCATAGTTAAGATTGCAATTTTGCACTACCACGGATGTTTAATTCGTTTTGGCTTCGTGAAAATTGTGCGATCGCGAGCGTAATTTAACGTGTGCGCCCTCGATTGATTGCGATTTCGCTGATTGATCCATTTCGACGGCGTTTTGCAAGATTTGCGCCGCCAGACTGGAGATGCGCAGATCCTTGAGCTTCATCGAACTCTCCAGATATGCGATCTTGTGATTCAAAGTGCTTATCACTTCTTCCTTTTCACGCAGCTCCTGTTTTAACTCTGCGTAAATTGTACGTTGCACATTTTCGTCGTTTGCATCTTCAATCCTCTTCGTCGTAACATTCGCGAGCGCATCGCCTTTAAACGCGTTTGGAAATTTATTCATATTTGATCAATTACAAATTGTCTCACTTATATATCAAATATCTCACGCTTGAAACGAGGAAGTGTGCAATAGTTAAAGATATTCCATATACGAAAGAAGCAAAAAATCCAACTGAAGACGTTGAAAATCCCTCGTTTCAGACACATAAATTTCGATGATTTAATTTCACGAGTTTCGTAATCAGTTTTTAGACTTTCTACTTGCAGTTTGAGGTAGCTGTCTGACGAGCTATCTCCAATCTTCTCTTCTATGGAAAGTACGATAAAATTAAAACCAAACCCATATAGTAAAGATTACAACAACATTGCTCCAACATTGCAAGTTACTACAATGTTACTGGAATTTTGCTGTAATATTGCCAGAATGATATATTCGCTGTATGCGAAACGAAACAATAATGTATAACTAGTCAAACAGGTTAAACAAAAATGTGATTATTTAATATATGATGTCTGCGCTTCGTTGCCTTCTACATTGCTTTCTACATCTTTGAGTTTCGGTTTATGCATCTCAACGCCGTCCCTCAGAACTTTCACTCTCAACTTTGTTAAGAGCTTCTCGACTGCGCCTTGTGACCCGTTCGCCAGTTGATGAATAGTGTCACTGCTCAATTTTATATCAAGTTTTGCGAGCACTTTTCGATTTAGCATCTTCCAGTTCTCCCTTTTTGTATTTATGCCATTCGCCGGAACATAATTGTGAAGCTCCACATGTCGGGGATAGTATAATTTTAGAACCTCCGCCGTAAGAACTATCAAGGGATATAATAATTTAATTAGGTTCATTCCTATACTGATATAGATTGAATATAATTTACTTGATTTAATTTATACTCTTCAGCTTTTTCTAATTCTTAGAATCAGCAAAAGCTAAGAAGTAAGTTGAATCAAAATTAAAATTCAATCAAACCTCTAAATGATAAAATTATTAATTTTCTGTCATTTAATATATAGAAAAAAATCAAATAATTATATAGTTGAAAATTTTGCTTTAAGTAGTTCTGCTTGATTGAATTAATTACATTAAATTAATCAAGATTTAATTGCGGTTGGTTTAAAATTTATCTCTGAAGAAGAGAAAATCGTCTCTGAATTAAAAAAAACTCGGCGAGTTTACCGGCATCCGAAAAATCCCTCGTTAAGTTTCTCGCGGGTCTCGAAAATGGGATGCCATCGATCCATTCGATGAGCTCCTTATTGTCGATCTGCACCGTGTCACCAATCATTTTTCCTTCTACTTATTAACAATCCGAGTCAATTCATATTTGGATCAGTTTATTCATCACGTTTCGGTGTATCGAGTGGAGAATCGACGAGGAAACTTTGAATCATGCTGTCATCTGGTTTCCCTTGTGAGGCAGAGCAGAATCGCTCGTCGAAATCATGCGATATATTGACAACTTAATGGGCAATGTTCCTTTATTTTAAATCAATCACGAAAATAGGTGATAAAATATAAAGTATTAAGAAATATCTTCGAGATGGGTTATAATTAAATGTTGGAAAAGAAGAAAAATCTAAAGGAGTGTAATAGATATGTATTTTGAGAGGAGATAAACGGAAAAAAACAAAAACAAAAAGAAAAAAATAGAATAAAATGGAGAAAGTACACATGGCAAATCTATATGTTTTACAATAAAAACATGAAATCAATAATTATACATATATGTAAATATAATATTTATTAAGTTATACTTATAATATTATCTTTATTTACTAGTATTAAAAAGTAAGGAAAATGATAATATAATTTATTTGCTTTTTTTATATTATTTTTAGATCATTTTGATATCATATTTTTTTATAAGCAAGAATATATAATGCATTTACTGTTTTAATTTAGTAAAAAAAGATGTATACAAATGTATAATAGCAAAGTTTTAGTTACGATCGTACATATTAGATTTTTAAATATGAACAATTTTATATATATATATAAAATGCATACATGAAGCAATTCAAAGTTCCATATTTTGTTCTATTTTTCCATACAATCATATATTTTATTAAATAAGAATATTTGCTTTCTAGTAAAATATTTTTCATGTATGAATATAAAAACATATATAAACATACATAAACATAATTAAGTTAATAAACAGATATTAATAAATATATTTAATTATGTATGAGATATCTACACATGTTCATACATCCTTCTTTCATTTTAAAATTACTTTTTAATGTACTACAAATAATAATAATAATGAGAAAACATCAAAAATAATTAAAAAAAAATTTTCACATTGTTTATTTTAGAAAAAAAATGAAGTTTAGAGAAATGTAAAAGAATTGCTCATATATAATTGCATGTAAAATTATACATAGTTATATATAAGCAAATTTTTTTACATTTTTCCAAACTTGTTTTTTTTCTAAAACATGGAAATTTTCCTGTTAACTATTTTTGATGTTTTCTCAATATTATTATTATTTTTAGTACACTAAAAAGTAATTTTACAAAAGAAAGAAAAAGATGTGGACGTATTTCGATGTATAATTATATATGATTATGAATATTTTATGCATGTTTAGTTATGTTTGTACATATTTATACATACTCAGCAAACGAAAATGGATTGAAAACTGCTTTTCTGCTTTAATTTCTATTCAGAATTTTGAATTTAGCAATATTCACAATGCATAGAAATGGCTATTATTTTTATACAATTACTCAACAGGATTGAAAAACTGCATTTCCTATTCAGAATTTTAAAATAAGCAGTATTCACGATGCACACAAAATATTATAATGTTACTTTAGATTGAAAAACATAGAAATATATTCCATGCCATTTCTATAAATGAATAAAAATGTATTCAAGATTGAGAAGGAATAGATATTTGTTTTATGCAATTCTTATAAATGAATAAAAATGCATTCAAGATTGAATAAGATTCATTTTAATATTCATGAATCCATATTTCTGAAAATCTGTATTCATCAAAAAAAAGTATTCGTTATTTAAAATATATACGCATTCGGATAGAAAAAAATTTCAATCCATTTTAATCCATTCTCGTTTGCTGGGTAATTATTAAATTTTACGCTATTGCAAGCGTAATTAATTATAAAAAATTTATTCACAAGTTATATATAAATTAAATTTTGTCATTTTTTAATAAATTTTTAAATAATATAAAGCATGAGAGAGATACGCGCGAACATTTTCAAAGTCATGTATGTTATTTTATCTAGAGATATTTCTAGGAACATTTCGAGTACAATTCTGGTATCATTGTCGAATCAAGTGTAGTACACTGTGATACAGTATAGGTGCATTAGCTTGATAGTGCTGTGTCACCGTATATTGCTGCAAAGAGTGCAAAGTGATTATCATGGCTTCTGAACGATATAGTTTTTCGTTAACAACCTTCAGGTAAATATATTTACAGTAATCATAATAATCGCAGTAATCATAATAATCGCGTACGAAACAGCACGTTTCACGCCAATATTCCGTATCTGTAGTAAAAGAAGGGTGCCACTGAAAACAGATTAAACAGTAACCTAACCTCTTTCTAGATTGGGCTTACACGTGGTACATTCTCTATTTATTGAATAAAAATTTTTGTCTTAATTAATAGCATCTTATTAATATTAATCTCTTATTGACAAATATATAAATAATCATTTTGTTTGAGTATATTTTATTTGAAAAAGCTAAACATATCATATGACAAAATGACTCTCAAATTCTTGGAGTACAAGTATCAAATCTAAAAATACAAGATCGTATAATTGATCATCTAAAAATTATATAAATAACACAATAACAAATAACATAATATTCATAATAATTTGTATATTATGTAATTCATATATCGATTAATTGTGTTTTACAGTCCATCAGGCAAGTTAGTGCAAATAGAATATGCCTTAGCTGCAGTAGCCGCCGGTGCACCGAGTGTGGGCATTAAGGCGTTAAATGGTGTTGTTCTGGCTACGGAAAACAAACATAAATCCATTCTCTATGATGAACACAGCGTCAGCAAAGTCGAAATGATTACAAAGCACATCGGCATGGTTTACAGTGGTATGGGTCCAGATTACAGATTATTAGTAAAACAAGCACGGAAAATGGCACAACAATATCTGCTAGTATATCGAGAACCTATCCCGACTGCACAACTTGTACAACGCGTTGCAATGGTCATGCAAGAATACACGCAATCTGGGTGAGTTATAGCAAATACAATTACTTGTACTATATACTAGATTAATGCATAATAAAAGCTGCTGTTCATTGGCAAAGATAAATGTGAAGGTATACAAAGTGTTTGATAAGTAACGATAAAACTCGAATAGGGGTAGAACGAACTAAACTGAGTCGAAAAGTCCTCTACCATTTATATAAAGATTATGTGTTTCTCAGGTTTTCTTCGTGTCCAGATCCATTCTTGGAATGCCAACGTTTCGTGAACCTTGCAGTTCCTTGCTCTACCTCATCAGGGTGAGGAGCAGCTACGCTGCTTCTCCAAGCCATTCTTTTTATTACCGTTCATTTTATAATACTCTATCATTTTGCAATTTTCGCAATAGTTAATAAGATATCAATTACTAAAAAACATCAAGTATTGATTTCCAATAATTTTTTAATCAAGTACTATAAATTTTACAGAAAAACAGCAAGAAACAAAAATTATTTTCTTCTCATAGAGTTCTAAGAATTTTTTCAAAATTTTTTAGTACCACATATTGATAAAAATAATTGTCAATGAGAAAATGCAGTACTAAAAAGTTGATAAAAAATGTTTTTTTAATTCATAGAGCTCTATAATACTTGAATAAAAAATAGTCATGCAAGAATATACATAGTTGATAGTACTTGAGTAAAAAAAACCAATATTCGACGATTTTTAATAATTAATATCTTGTTAATTATTGCGAAAATTGTAAAATGGCAAAAGACTTTCAAGTCTTAAATTTAGTTTAGTCCGTTCTACTCCTATGCGAAAATTTTATCGTTATTTATCATGCACCCTGTATATTTTGATTGATTAATTATTTGGTAATGATATTGCCACATTATTTAACATGTATTATTTCATTATCGAAATTATATTGATTATATTATGCCACTGCATTTAAATACTTTATATAAAGCAGCATTTAATGTGTACTAATCTAGTGTAGTATGAGTGATTCAATTCACCATTAGTCTTCAACTATGATTTGTATTTGCTCTTAAATTTTAAATATAAATTATTTTTAAATGTTAAAAAATTATTTGATTGAATACATACAGATATGTAGGATATCTCTAGTTATAATAAGAGATAATTAGACAATAATTATTGTCATTGCTAATTTATAGAGGTGTTAGACCTTTTGGAGTATCTCTTCTGATCTGTGGTTGGGACAATGACAAGCCATATCTATTCCAATGTGATCCATCTGGCACATATTTTGCATGGAAGGCAACCGCGATGGGCAAAAACTTCGTTAATGGCAAAACGTTCCTCGAAAAGAGGTATAGTGAGGATCTGGAATTGGATGATGCCGTTCATACTGCCATCTTGACGCTAAAAGAAGGTTTTGAAGGACAGATGACTGCGGACAATATTGAAGTCGGTATTTGTGACGCGAACGGATTCAGAAAATTGGATCCATCCAATGTGAAGGATTATCTCGCGAATATTCCTTAAGCTTATGTGTAAACTTCTTTTTTTTAATATATTCTTGGATTACTTCGTAATCGTTAATAAATTTGAATCAAGTTCTTGCAATAAATGTCCTTTATCTATAAAGAAAAATAATTGTGCTTTTTTTCATAACAATTAAAATCGTATTAAAGAAATTATAATAGTTTATATAGTAAGACATATATCTTATAACTATATGTATGACTATATAAACTATTATAATTTCTACTATATCTTATAACTATATAGATATATTAAGAATTAGCTTACATTTCTGAAGATGCTTCTAAACTTGATTGATCAATAGTTCATTTTAATGCAATTTAATAATACATTAGTTTATGATTAGCGTCTTTTGTTACTGTCCGATACTTATTACTCATCAGTTTTTCCAAATTTTTCATTAATTTTTACAAAATTCTTCTAGCCTTACATCTCAATTCTTTGTAAAATGTGTATAAGACTCATGGTTGAAAATCGTGCTAAGACCAGGATCCGTATATAACTCGAGATTTACAAACTATGAGTCGACTATTCTCGTATGGAACCATACGTTACACAAAATTTAGTAATATATAAT